TATTACAAATTTATTTTTAACGCAAAATAATGAACAAGGAGTGCTCAGTATTTGACAATATGCAATTAACTCTCAACCTTTTTATTCATATTGGACAAACTTGACTATGCTGCATTATACAGAGTATGTAAATGGACAAGAAATATTAAAACAAAGGCTTTAGGTTTCAAACTATTGGATATTTTTGTTCCAATATTGATTGGAAATGGATTCATAACAGAAGTGAAAAAATGGCTCACAATTTTGCACCCGTTTTTGAAAATATCTGATTTTGTAATTTAATTGGCCAGACATTATTTCCAGCATGTATGTATTTGAACTGAAATGTTTTCATCCAAACAAATAATTTGGAATTATTACGAATTTCATGTCGTGTAGGCATGTATCTGTTGTGTGCTACCAAATACCCCCTACCAGCAGCATGGGGGCTGGCCTTGAATGTCTTTTGTTTTGTTTATTTTTTCTCGTCCAGAAAACTCTGCTTTTGGCCATTAGCTGTTTATTTTAACATCCCTTGCGAGGCAAATTATTGCTATGTATTGTCTGTTATTGACCATCTAGAATAGCGCCCTAATGGAAAGATGGTGTCAAGCCCCACCCCACCCACAATGTTGTTGTTTGATGGAGGCTGGGTGTTCGGTGAAAAAAAAATTCAGCATGGATAAAATTGGGCGCCCCTCCACCGTACCATACTGTACCAAATTGTTCCACAGTATGGAAACCCGTGCCACGCAAAATGAACAAAATTGTGGGAGGGTGGGGTGGGGTGCTTACCCTTAGCAGAAAATGTACCTACTGTAAAAAATTATGTGCTTACAGTAATCGTATTTCATCAATAACATGGCCGGAATTTTGGTTCTGGGCATGCGCGCATCTCATAACTATGGATTCTGTGCTATTAGGGTTGGCACAGAGTTTTTCTATGAGCGTGGTTTATAGCACAAAATGGTGATCATAAGCACAGAATTATGAAATCGTGAAATCGGGCCCAAGTTCAGAGTTAGCGGAAAGAGTTAAAGTATATATTCAATGAAACTCTAATATATAATGAAGGTATCCACAAGACAATGAGGATTTCTGAAGTGTACCTCCGACATAATCATGTGAAGTTCCCTCAATAATGATCCACAAAACTGAAGGTATTCCGGCAAAGGCTGTCAGTGTCAGTCAAAGCGCAGACTCAAGCCATTCCACAAAACAGTCAACAAGTCTTTCTCTCCTACTCCAAACTTTAAGATTTAAATCAAGTTGTACATCATGCTGGGGAAAGTGCCTCTGTTCCCATGGGCATGTTAGTTACATGCAGCTGTGGCTTGTCTCTGCATGGTGAAATGAAAGAAAAAAAATGGAAAGAAATTTAGAAAGAGTTTATCCAGTTCCATGACCATACTGGTTTGAAAACAACAAAAATCACAATATTGTTTGGACTAATGTGATTTAAAGCAAAAGAAATGAAAACGAGGCTGATTATTATTTTTTATTCATATTTGTCCCATTTTTCAGGGTTGGGAGTTTGTTTTGTTAATACACTATTTAAGTGTTTCCTTTTTTGTGAAAAGACAAGCAGCCTTTTTTAGGGGGGGGGCCTTACCATTTATCCATTGAAGTGACACTCGAAGACAAAACATGGACTAAACTTTGCTTTCATCCAACCATCACCACATTCTTCCCTAAGACTTCAGCAGCAGTTTTAGCTTCCAGCCAACAATCAAAACAAGTGTCATTGTTGCGCATAATAATTGTTCAACCCCCCGCCACCCCCCGAGGGGGAGACTTTGGGATTATAACTTTTGAAGTAATAGAATCCCCAGCCAGGCAATCTTTTGATGATAATCCCCAACATACAAGGGTGGGGTGCACTAATGACTGCCATTGCATTAATGCTAATGTTAATGTTTTTTCAGTGACCAAAATCCCCACCCCAGGGCCTGAAAAACGTAACCAAAGCCAGACATGATCAACTGACCTGGGGTTGGTGGCAAATAATTTATAAGGGCCGGAAAACCCCAAACAATGAAAAACACAACATTCCCGGAAGAAACATCCTCTCTAAAAGTTAGGACAAAAAAACTTAAGTTTACTTAACTTGGTTAATTTCCACATTCTTTCTAATGTCATAGCTCTTCATCTTGCTTACTTTTATTCGAATCATAGTTTTAATTTTGTTTTGATTATAAATTTCTACTTAATGTTATTTTCAATTAATGTAGTCATATTAATCTTTTACTTTGTATACATATATATATTTGTTTGTTCATTATGTTTTCAGAGGTGCAGAAATGAAGCTCCTCCTTTGAAAAGTAAAAGTATTTATTAATTTATTTATTTATTATTTTATTCTCTCGAGTGGAGTTCAAAGACTCCGTTTATTTTCAAATCAAGATGATACAAAATCAGTGCATGCAACAGCAAAAACATCAACCAAAATTAGGTAAGATATTAAGAATGATATAAATTAATAAACCATTCGAAGTAAACAGGGAGAAACGCTACGTACATGTTAATACAATGCAGTAAATTCAATGTCTGTATAAATGTAATTATGAGAGTAAACAAAATATAGAATATTCCTCAAGATAAACATTACACTGACACTAAAACAATAGACCATTTTGAGTAGAAAGGAAAAAAGTGTATCAGTGCCGTGAGTTAAATGAATATATACAATTGATTATTTTCCGGACATTCCTCATGTTATACAATTAAAATGAAAGAATTGGGGAGAGTGTCGATGATGATGAGACCCAGGCTCAGTTTTACATATGGGACGCACAGTGTCATTATCTTTACCAGTCTTCCTAAAAACGTCTTTGTCAGGAAGGATCACGTGTTTCAACTTGTACCAGAATTGTTTGTCTCTGAATCCAATAAATTATTCTTCATCCCGTTCCGCCAAATCTGCGTCCATTCAAGATCATGGCTGTAAATGATATTTCTTGCCATTCGTACGAACTGAAAACAATTGAAAACATGATTCATGAGGCCAGGTCTTTTCTCTTGAACCAAATCATACTTAATATGTTTCTTAATTTTGGCCATAATCCTACCGCTTTTAACATTTAACATGTCACATTTATCTGCCACTTCCTGAAAGGAAATTATGGATTTTGCTCGAACCAAATCTTTGATATGAGTGAGTCCTGCAGATATAAGCCGAGGACTACAATTAGAACCTAACTTTCACCAGCAGCTTCAAATGTGTTTAGTAAATGAACACATTGTGCTTCTAAAATGCGAGAATGAACACAATTGTGTTTATTCTTATGGAGGGAGACACTAGATTGTGCACAATCTAGTTTTCCCCCGCCATTTTGAAAGCCTCAATGAGATCTTTAGAAAAGAACGATAAGTATTCGCAAAGATATACCGAGCCTTATTTATCCATAATCGAAACAAGTGTTCCATTTCCCACTGGATGATAAATAGCGTGTCAATCACTGTAACTTTAAACACATAAGCTTACAATGGATGTTTATGAGGCCAGCACCTCCTTTGTAATTGTCTACGGGACCAGTGACTGTTTTTTTTTTTAATGGTTTACATTTTTCCGTTCCAAAAAAAACCCACCAAATGATGTTGTCTAACTTTTGGACCAAGTCTGTAGAACCTGCATTGACACTTCCAATGAAATTAAAACTGGATCCAAGATAATGACCGCTTTTCCTCTGTAACTCAACTTTCTTTTAGACCGCTTGTCTAATATTCCCTTGACCTTATTACCTCTCGGACCCTAATTGTCTTCTAGGGAACCTCGTTGCCGACAATAATTCCTAGCATGTTCATGTTATCGTTATGCCACTGAAAATTACACGGAGTGTCTTGACGATTTCTCCATTTACCGAGCCATAGACCTTTTGTCTTGGTCGAATTTAGTTTAGACCAACTTCCCTTGCAATTAAACATTAAGAATGTTATGAATAGTTTTAAATTCGTCATTACTTCTAACAAAAAGACTACTATCATCAGCGTGTTGAATGAGACGGATGCTATTGTAAGCAATCAAGCCGGGCATTGCAATGCCTTGCAAATTTCTGTCTTTTCTAAATAAATCGGCTGCACCTTCGGCATAAATTGAGTAAGGGCGGATCCAGGGGGGGCCAAGGGGGCCATGACCCCCCCCCCCCCCAAAAACGAAACCAATTTTTTTTTTTTTATGTGACATCGCAATAAAGGCAGGCAATGAGTACAACACCATCTTTTCCTCAAAAAAACATTGGTTAAAGTGGTCAGAAATTGCCTCAGATCGCACCATAGAGCATCTAGAATCCAAAAATTTTTCGGGGCCCTTAAGCGGGCCCCGAACCCCACGCCGTAATTTTTTTTACCCACTTTTTTGGGGGACCAAAATTTTTTTTGGCCCCCCCAAAATTGTGTTCTGGATCCGCCCTTGAGGAGCGGTGACATGGGACATCCTTGCCTAACTGCACGCTGATTTGTAACAGGGCAACCTGCATAGTTGTTCAAAATAAAACAGCAGTTGGGGTGATTGTAATTCTCCCCCCCCCCCCAATATTTTGTAAAGACTGCCCTTTGTGAACAAGTGCCCTTTTTCTGAACAAATGCCATTTTTAAAAAGAAGTCGTGCCCTTTCAGTGCCCTCAGCCGTTCCGGGTCTTTTTTTTTTTTTTTTTAATTCCACGCATGTATCTCCCTCACCATATATTGTCCGTTAGTGTGCATAAAAGTCGGGTTTGAACAGCCCCCCCCCCCCCCAAAAAATGCATGTGTAATTTTATCTTTAAGTGAAGAACAAAATGAAGTTAAGTCGAAACATTGGGCTCTAATGGCATAACAATTAGCCCATAGGGCCTACTCGCTCTAACGTCTTGGCCATTTCGTATCAGCGGTTTAACTTTTTTCTTTATTTTCTCCGTAGGCTTTCCTACGGACCAATCAGCGATCGAGAAATAGTTTGATGGCTCGCTCGACGGTTGTAAACATACACGTCACTGCGTTCTCATTCAGCCGATAACAGCTACGCGATGTCACACACAGACCCGAATAAAGTCAATGCTTGCGCGCACCCATTCACGGATTCGCCAAATTACAAACCAACGCCTAACGGAAATACCAAGAAGCATCTTTAGAAATGACCTTCTTGTTTTCTTCAAAATGATGCGTGCCAGAAAGAATAATTTCACAGGGAGTGGATAGCCATCCCCGTCTTTAAACCAAGTAAGCTTTTTAACGATGATTTCGTCAGTTACTTTTTGGAGCTGCAAAGTATACTCTATACTCATTGATCCATTGAACAGTATCAAAAATAAGTGCTCATAAAAGATCTATAGGAATATATTGAGAGAATTCTAGAATTATTGGGGCACTAAGTCATTAGTGAATAAATACACTCTGCGATCTGTCGGGGTCAACGTGCAAATGAGGACATAATGCGTATTATTTGTGAACGGGAAAATCCTGTATCTACATGAATCTCTACATTAGTTTATGAAAATTTTCATCATTTAAGGGGTTTTCTGTTTAAATTTTGAACCCGAAATGTTGTTAAACTAAACAATCTGACACCTTTTGACGTTAAAGCAATTGCAACACTGAAATGTTTGTCCTAAATAACAGTTTCTTTATGAATATGAGCTCCCAAACACCCTTGAAAACTGCAATATAGAGTAAATATAATAAAAGAGTCTGCAATAAATAAAAATTGCAATAAAGAGATTGAGAATATCTATAATGGCACGCAATGGTTCATTTCAAGGATTGCATCATAAATCTGTAATAGGTTTCCCGCTTATTTTAAAACGTGTTTATACCGTTTCTAATTTACCCAAATGTCGAGCAAAATATTTTTTCACTTTCAATGTTTAAAGTCATCAGTTGTCTAACGAAGTCTGACGGTTTCGGACGCAATGGCACAAATTGTAAAGCATAAGTTGCAGAATTAGGTTCATGGATTTTAATTCGCGACTTTGTTAAACGACAACAAACATAAAGCTGACGACCGAAATACCTGATTTACTGATGCCTTCATTTTTTTTTAAACAAACATGCCATATATAGCTTCGGGATTATCTCAACAACCCATCCACTTGCACATGATTCATAACCTGTCCTGGTTTTTTTAAAAATATAGTATATTTGACCCGCTCTGTTGAAAGCTACCAGAGAATCTAAAGGATTTTTCTTATTTGCGGATATCACCTGAAGCTTTCTCGCAATGCTTTATGAACAGGTTTTCCTGACCAATTTGATACGTTAAATTGCAATTGCAAAACCTTCATTCAAATTCGAACAATGTTTTTAAACGGTATCTTCGATCCTGCGTAAAAAGTCGTTAGCAAAGTATGTTACTCTTGTGCAGTTATTTTTGTGATCTTTGCATTCAGTCCCACTCAAGAATTAAATTGTGTTCTTACCTTTCAAAAAGAAGTAACAAATGGTTAAAATTAAGCAGTTCCATTAACAAGGTTGACATCATGTGTTGTAGTGTGAAAACGGTCTAAAAATTACACTACTTTACGAATGCTCAGGCAGGCGATATAAAACAAAATGCGTCCTAAAAGAAGTCTAACCCTGATACCATCTATACCTAAAATATGATAAGTTCAGAAAGTGAGTTATTTCCATACAATCCCTGCTCACGGGCAACCAACTCGTCACTGCTTGCATTGACCAACCACATATTGGAGCTTTTGAATTTTTGCACTTTTTCATCGTGGCCACGGATACTGGCGGCGTGCATCACAACAGCAGAGTAGCTGGTGTTCTTCGCTAAGAACTCGTAAAACGTAGGCCCTGGCGGGAATAGCTTAATGTCGAGTGGTTTGATGTTGACATGCACGGGTTTATCAGCTTGCAAGAGTTTATTCATTACGATCTGATCCATGATTTGCTTCCCTTTCAGAGACCGAATCCACTCTTTAACAAACATGAGTGTCACGATGGTTGGCTTCATGTAACTAAAACCGGCGCAGTAATGTGCTCTTGATGTGCGAGTCGGATAAGGTGAGTTCGTGTCCATCATAGACATATCGAAGTCTCCTTGAAAATACCGAAAGGGATCTCGGAACCAAAAGGTGTCAGAATCCGTGAAAAGAACCTCAAAGCCTTGTTCTAACAGACTAAAAACATACCCCTGGCGTTTCTTCAGAAGGTCAAAATAGGTTCGGGCATTTTTGCGCTTCACTTCGCCACTCTGCATGAGACCAGAGTTGGTCATCACTACATGCACCGCTGGGTCCCCTTCAGCTTTTTTGTGCAGATATTTGTATACTTTCTTATCCTCAGCGATGATAGTTGTATTGACACAGATGCCCACCCTACGGACACTCGCCAACATGTTCATGGTCATGTCTAGGAAGCCCAGGTTGGTTGTTGTCAACATTACTACACCGGGTCGCTGTAGGATGTCATAAAGTGTGCAATTCGACAATTGTCCACGCTCAGTACTTGCAAACGGGACGTTGGTTGCCTTGCTGTATACATTGCCCGTAGCTTGGTTTATCATTGCAGTCTTCAGAATTACACATGAATCGCAATTGCGGGACCAATCTGAAAAAGAACGGGTTTAAATATTCAATATACTAGAAGTATTTCCAACATGTTAATTTATTTCGCTAATTAAAACTCCACGAATTTCAAACTGCAAAACACTCAGCTGGTTGATATACGCAAAACGAACATTTGTATGGAATGCAACCAGAAAAATTAAACACCACTGTTTAATATGCTCATTCTTTTGTTCGATACGAGATTTTAAATTGTATATATGGTGCAAGAGAAAGATTTAAAGCGGAAAAATCGCTCAAACAGGCTATGCAATCCAATAGTTTCATTCAATTTTTGTAACACTTTTGAAAAAAAAACCTTTTGGGGGGCAGAACTAGTGATTTGTATCGGATCGGCTTGTCGAGGCCAAACGATTGCCTCTTTCAGAATTATTCAGTACATTTCTGATAATTGACATTTAAAAATGCGTTTACTATTTAGAATGCCCCTATGATCAAGTTCACACTCATGATCTTCCAGTTAGACCGCTCTGCCCCAACGGTAGCTGAAGTAAACCCGTTGTTATTGATATTACGGTATAGGCACCGTAACTCTTCAACATACATCACCCATGTGGGACTTCGGATAGTGATAGTTATAAAGCATACCAATTGCTCATGGTCAGATCAGTCTCGAAGATGTGTTCTGAAAGATGAAAGGACGTGTAGCAAGGACAAGAGGAGTTGCAACACTCAGGCAGAAAACAAAGAGTTTACTTAAAATACAGGTATGCTGTCACCTCCATCACGGCCATCTTGGAGGCCTACACCTAAACCAGGGACAAAATATATCATAGCGACGCCTGCACCTACACAAGCCTCGATCTGCATCACTGACATCAGTTCCTTATTAACTCAGGCGGGGATGACATTTGCTTTCAAGAGTGGACATCCTGCATCAAGACGTTCTTCCCCATCTCAGTGAAAGAGTCCACAGAGTGACAGGAAAGATGGCATCGGTGATTAGCAAAGAATTGCTTACTGCATGCAAATCATAGTGGAGTAATGAAAAGAGGGAAGAGCAGGATTGGGGTATTTGTGCATTGCAGCCAAATGCCTACAAACATCAGTGGTCATAGAGCCGAGCTGGTAGGTCCCGTGGAACATATAAAAGCAACATTTTGAAGACTTGCTTAAAGCTTGACAGCCGGCCATGCCAGAGATTTCTTGTAACGATCTTTCAAAGAGCGGTGGTGAATTTCTGGTAATTTGACTGCGAAAGAAACGCAAAAAAACCTAAAATGACTTGTATTGGTTTTACCATTTCGGCATGGGCAACTTGATGCGAATCGTGACTTAATGAAGCTGTGGCTCACGCGCTGAGAGGGTCTAAAAGTCACCATTATAACCTGGAACAGGCAATACTGGGGTTGGACAAGGAGGCTCAGAAGAAGGCGTCGTTTGTAGTTATAAGGTATAATGTTGGCAAATAATGGCCTTGGGGTTGCACAATGCTGCTCCAACTTCTACTTTTAAAGTAGCTCGGTCACATCGCGTCTGGAAAACCTAGTCATCATTTCAGGGACAAAGAGTGTCGCTCAAGATGGCGAACGCCCGAGACGGCAAGAAACGTGCAAAAGTTAATACTGAGTATACATGTACTTCACCCTATTAAGACCGGGGTATTTTAGGTCAGGACTGCGGGTGGGAGTTGGGGGGGGTTGAAATGTGGCACTATCATAATTTCCATATGCTTCTGATGATGTTCCTTAAATTTAGGAGGAATGTTAGTTGACCTGTTTTCGATATAATGACGTCATTTAGTTGTGCTGCAGCAACTACAAAATGATGCTTAAAATGTACTCATTTTGTCGGTCAGAAAATTCAGTATGTTTGGGGCATCACTCCTTGAAGTTTGCATTTCAAACATTCATTTATAACTCATGTTTGTACTTTGTAATCTCGTTGATGAGCATTTCTGTTTGTGTACGTGAAGTTGATTGACCCTCACTTACGATGTTTCGGCAAGGTAAAGGTTAACTCTTACACCATGGGCTGTGAGCGTAGTGCACACTGCGTCATGCGTAAAAACGTGTTGCTATAAAGCACCGCGCATATCCATACACATTTGTAAGCAACTTACGTGCTCAAAATCTAAAGAAGGCTGCTGAACAACAGTTAGTAACCTGATGAAGTTTCAGCTCAGCTTCAGCTGTATATTTCGAGAAAAACAACATTCTAGGATCTCGATTTCAAATCAAAAGTTGCTGAATCTGTTTTGAATTGGGCCTGAATTCAGCGTCCGAGATACTGTATCACAGAGCCGGTTGCAGCTACGGATGTCGCGCACTGATCCGACAAATTATAGCAACCGTGTGCGCATGTAGTCGTGTCATCGCTTGCGTGTGCTTCGCCGAATAAAAAAAGCCGAACTTCTATAACGGAATTTTCGAACAGTGCATCCGTTGGAAAGGCCTTCTTTTGTTAATTTCTTTAAAATACAACATGCCAGAAAAAATAATTTCGCAGGGAGGTTAGTCCCCTTACTATCTATTAACCAAGTATGTTTTTCAACAATATTACGTTAGTTACTTTTTTGATAGCTGCAAATGTAGCTTTAACGGCCCGCACAGCCTGGAATACCCAGCCTCGTTTCCATGGGTGCGATCTTACTGCGGCATGCTGTTTTCCATCTTGCCTTGCACGATCTTAAACTCTGGATTTGTCTAAGTTTAATGTGCCGAAATGTGACACATTTAAATTGAGACTGCAGTCGATGCATCAGCAGTGGCTATCAAATTTGCAAGAGTGGTAGGTGTGGGGTGGATCATCCCTTGTTTGAGGATTTTGTGTGGAGGACTGAGGATTAAGTTGACGGGGAGCAAGTTCTATTTATAGATAGAATAAATAAAAGATGTAATAAAAACGGCGGCGGCTGTGGCGGTGTCTGCTTATGAGTTCTATGTTGCACACGCGCGCGTTCTCCTTCTCGCCGTCGAGGTTCATCCGTGTTCTTGTTAGCTATATCTTTATAGATAGAATATAACTCTTAAAAGATTGAATAAAGACGGCGGCGATGACGTCACTTATCCTTTATGATAGCATAGACAATAAATATAGACATGACGATTTATATTGTTTTACCACAATGGCTTCTTCATTTTCTGTGCCATGTGTACTGAAATGAAATGAGTAAAATGAGCAATGAAATAAGTAAATGAGCACAAAGAGCAAAGGTATACATAAAATAAGAAGTAACATATTTCAAACGATATCATGCGTTTCTTGACATTCAGAGATTGATCTTCAAAGATTCAACATGAACGTTTTCCTTTGGTGAAACCCCATGCTTGTTACCAGTGTGACAAACGTTTTGGACGGAGATAATACCTACGGAGGCATGCAGAAAGTACAAATGCTGCAAGGGCGGATCCGGGGGGGGCCAAAGGGGGCCATGGCCCCCCCCCCCCCAAAACGAAACCAATTTTTTTTTTTTTTAATGTGACATCACAATAAAGGCAGACAATGAGCACACCACCATCTTTTCCTCAAAAAACATTGGTAAAGTGGTCAGAAATTGCTTCAGATCGCACCACAGAGCATCTAGAATCCAAAAATTTTTCGGGGCCCTTAAGCGGGCCCCGAACCCCACGCCGTAATCTTTTTGACCCACTTTTTTGGGGGACCAAAATGTTTTTTATTTGTTTGATGTGACATCGCAATAAAGGCAGGCAATGAGCACACCACCATCTTTTCCTCAAAAAAACATTGGTAAAGTGATCAGAAATTGCCTCAGATAGCACCACAGAGCATCTAGAATCAAAAAAAATTTCGGGCCCTTAAGCGGGCCCCGAACCCCACGCCGTAATTTGTTTGACCCACTTTTTTGGGGTACCAAAATTTTTTTTGGCCCCCCCCCAAAATTGTGTTCTGGATCCGCCCTTGAAATGCTGAAGCAGAATAAAAACTGAATAAAGTTGACAATGATCTTGAAACTGAAACTATTCAATCCTGAAAATTTTGACATGGATAATTCCGATGATTCGGAAATAGAAAACCGAATGGAACTGAATCTACGCAGGATGAGGACGATGATTTCGAGGATGGTGATTTTGAATTCGAAACAGAGGCAGAAGAAGACAAATTATCGGATGAAGATGAATTGGAAGACAATGCTACATATCGAGACTGGTTGGAATATATAAAATAAGCGACTGAGGAAATGTGGAGTGAAAATATGAAAGGTACGTCAATGGGGGTATGGGTGAAGACCAAACCAAGAAAAAAGCCAAGGAGAAGACATTCTGGATAGTCAAGCAAATATTTTTCGACACCTACAAGGATTTTTTGTCAAGTTACCTACATCTGAAAGGTGATGATACACTGTAAAAAATTGCGTTATTTTAACAGTTGTTTTTCTGTTGAAATTTCTGTAAATTTACAGTAGATGTTACTGTTTTCGGATTTTTCTGTAAATCTACAAATTTGTTACTGCCTACGTACAGTTTTCTCCATTTCTCTGTTTGGTAACGGTATATTCGCTGTTAAACTAAAATTTTGTGGACGCACAAGGAACATCATGTTTTGAACAAGCCCCCCGTTCTGACTCTGTTAGAACACAGTCACATCGCTGTCGGTCAACAGAGAATCATCGTTTTTGTACAGGGTTCGGCCGTATCGCGTGATTTTTCACTGGTAGGCGGTAGTAGTGCAACGTTACTGTGGCATAAACGCTGAAGGGTACCAGTATGTTGTCAAGGAAGGCGCGCGCGGGAGTCGGACTATACATTACCATACAACTTCCCGTTGCGTCCATGCGTATGCGTACGATAGCATCTTGGAGCAAATTTTCTTATCCGTTTCTGCTTACATGTTTGTATTTTGTATTGTAAATGAATATTACTCTCAAGGAGAAGCGCTAAAGAGAAGCGGTTTCAGTTTGTAAGCCTGATTGTCAACGACAACACATTTGAAAGTTGCTTGGTTGTCATTGCAACATGACTCGCCGTAAGCCAACGTGCAAGTATCTACATTCGCACCTTCATGGGTTTTATCGATAGCACCGCCATAACATGACGTGTTACAAGTATCTGCATGTAAAGTACGTTCATTATACGAGAATATCTGTGGACTGAGGCTCACACAGGACCTGTCATTCGCAATCCTCAATACAAACATGAACACTTTGTCGTTTATCGGCCCCCATCAAATAATCACCGTTTAAACAAAAACAACATTTTGTTCAGCAACAGAGAGTTGTTAAGGAACCAAAAAACAGCGAATGTGCTGTTAGGATACAAAACGACAACACTTAATCATCTGTTGCAAAACAGTAGAATCCTCTGTAAATGAACAATATCAAATAAAGTAGAATCTGCTGTTAATGTACAGAGAAAAAAGAAACAGTAGAATATACTGTGCAAAAACAGTAACTCCTGTAATGCCAATTGACAATAGAATCAACTGTTAATAAACGGACATTTTTTTAACAGTGTACTCATCAAGGACGATCTGGAAGAAAAAATGAATAAAGGCACGAGAGTATACATAGCCCTGAACAAAGTAATACCTAAACCTGCACCAAATTTGACGGACTGTTCCAACAAGATGAAGTGACAGATGAAGAGGAAAACATTGATGATTAAAGACTAGTGGCGCCTAGTTTCAGGCACACTATTGTAACGTTTAAAATAACATATAAATGTGCCTTTGGTAGATAAGAAAATGTTGTATAAAATACATGTAGTTACCTCTCTGGAGTCGATCTATTTCCTCCACTTTGTTCTTTTGTTTAGAGTCGTGTGCAGACGTCGCACGTATCCTTATTTTTACCCAGCGCGCGACGTGGGACATTTATTGAATTCTAAAGTGTTTACTCTAAAGCGTTTTTTCATTTAAATTTTTTTTATTAAACAAAGAATACACATGGCACAGACAATGAAGAAGCCATCGTGGTAAAACAATATAAATCGTTGTCATGTCCACATTTATTGTCTATGCCGGCATTTTGGATAAGTGACGTCATCGTCGCCGTCTTTATTAATTTTTTTAAGAGTTTATTTTATCTATAAATATATTGCTAACGAGAACGCGGATGTGTACCTCGACAGCGAGAAGGAGAACACGCGCGCGTGCAACTTGGAACTCGTGCACAGACACCGCCACCATCTTTATTACATCGTTTAAGCGTTTATTTTATATATAAATAGAACTTGATCGACAACTTAATCCTCAATTCTCCACACAAAATCCTCAAACAAAGGATGACTTACCCCACACCTACTAATTGCAGGGCTCTGCGCTAGATCTGGTGTCGAATTTGTATCAAGCGAGCTAATTATATATTTGGATATTCATGAGCCTACATTTTTGGCCTGGTAACTACAAGTGATAATCACATAACTACAAAACTTCGGTTCGGGACCACATCTTCCAAAAACTGTTTGATGAAAGCCTAATTAAAAACAAAATTTTGGGAAACGGTGTTCTCAGTGTATGACTCTTACAGAAATAAAGTAATTTAAATAATAACATAATTATATGAATAACCTTACCAAAAAAAAGATCCTGGAAACGAGGTTGGCGATCCGCAAAAGCCTTAACAAGATTACCGCTCCCCAGACCAAAACATCGATACGCTTTTGAAAAGTTGAACATAAGAAAGGGACTTGCAAAACAAATATTGTTCTTTTTTCTTGGTTGCAGGTGTTGAAAATGAAGTTGATAATAGCTGTTCTACTTATTGTTGGTATATCGACCGTGCATGGTACTGGTAGGCGTGCGATAAAAACAAAAGCGCGCGAGCGTGACGTCACTTATCTGCTCCTGGCATCCAGGTCCACCACCAGATAGCCATAATACCCCAAAGTATAAACTTATAAACTATAACATATAAACTAAACACATATGATCAATTCTGTTGTAGATTCATTTCAAGTAAGTTAACAGATTCTGCAAGGTTGTTGCTAAGGATGATGCGGCTGCTAGGCAAAAAAAACCATCTTAAATATTATGATCACATGATGCTGGAGGTGAGATATCTTATTTAAATTACTTAGATATCTCATCTTGAAGTTTTATGTAAACTCGCTTGAAAGGAAATCATTTTTAAATATGGGCAGTTTTCTCAACGCTGCGCATTGGATTCATCTTTTTGTGTAAAGTCAGTTATCTGCTCCTGGTATCCAAGTCCACCTATAGACAACCATAAGCCTAGCCAATTCGAATACCCAAAGGTGTAAGCCTCCAAACATACAGACCAAAAAAATGATCATTTCTGTTGTACATTCATTTTAAGTAAGTTTATCAGGTTCTGAAAGGCTGTTGCTGAAGGATGATACAGTTGCTAGGCAACAAACAGATTCCATGGTCCCGCAGCCGATTTCACGAAACCGTACGTAATGGCGCAACTCTGCTTGCACCACAATTTATTGCGTAAGTTGCGCAGCATTTGACGCTGTGCAACATTTCACTTATGACTTGCGCAATAAATAATGGCGTAACTTGCGCAATGATTTTTAGGTGGCGTAAGATGTGGCGTGGCTATAAGATGAGCCCGCTATTGCACAACTTAACAAGGTCGATACAAGACACTCACAACTTTATGTTTGAAGCAAAGATCCTATAGCGCCGTAGGCGGCGCTATAGGATCTTTGGTTTGAAGTAAATGAATTTCTATTTTACTCGTAACATAATTTTTAGAGTTGCCGAGCGATTCTGAAGAAAATCAGACAAAACAATTTTCAAAATGGTCCTTGAGGTCGAATTTCCTATTCAAAAATCTCTTGTAAATGTTCATTTGTTGATGATATGAACTCATTTAAAAAGCTTAAACGTGGACTGTGTTCTTCTCGGTACTGTGCATCGGCTGCATTTTGCATCTCCTGGTGTGACGTCACGTATGTGCTCCTGGTATCCAGGTCCACCACCAGGTATTAAGACTAGCCAATTGGAATTCCCCTAAGGTGTAACCTTTCCAAAAAATAACCGCCAAACACTTGGTCATTTCCAAAAAAAATAATAATCCCTGGCTCCTGCTAAATAATAGATGTTTAGTTTATAGATGGTTAGTTTTTGTCGCGATGGTTTGCATATATCCAAAGTCTTGTCGCATTGATTTAGTTAAAACGTTTTGAAACAAAATATGGTAGGAAAAAAAGAACGACAATACTTACGAATGATATATGCGAGTAAAGCCACCGATTGAAGGAAGAACAGGACTTGAAATATACGGGTAACGGCCATGTTGAGCTGTTATGGTGCTGTAGGGCTGTACAATAAATAAGTAAGTGATGTGCTTAAAGTATGTACTGTACTCAAAGAAAACGTAATATTCGCATGTTAAAATATAAGAAAGGTGTATTTTAAAAAACTTCAAATGAATAACTTAAAATTTATTTGGTTTTTTAGGTTGGCCCAGGGGCGGAGGAACTTGGGGGGGGGGGGGTGGGGGGGCTGGGGGTCACTTTCCCCCAGATTTACACAAGGGCCTCTTTTGCGGACATAAATGTGCCCCCTCCAGCATTAATTTGCCCCCCGAGATGAAAAAAAATGGTATAGAGAGATCTGATATGAGGATATGAAAACCAAGCCCCAAAACTCTTACAATGCGCCCTGAAAATGGGTACATAATGCGTAGTTTGCATAATGGCTGGTGAAAATTGTACCAGCCCCCCCCCCCTCCCCCGGTACTGGTGGTATATCTTCAGCTAAGCATTTGTTTGTGTAATCCACTTACCAAGTTCTCCAATCATATTTAGAAAAAAAACCAAAGTACCGGTCACATGCAATCTCAGTGATATTACTTCACTTAGCTCTGTCGGCAAACTTGTTTAGACTGTGTTGTGAAACCGACTTACCCAGTGGGCTGAAAAAAAAGTTTCCATTTTGTTGACTCACCCTGTACAGGTTTGCTACACGTCAGTCATTTCAAAAATCCCTAACAGCTTGTGTGTGTCCACAAACGCATTTTTAGTTCATTGTAAATTCAGGTGTTCACGAATTGATTCGTTGAATTGTTTTTCCTCGTGTCAGTTAGCCTGTTTAATTTGATTTTTTTATTTTTTTTTGGAACAATTTACTTGTTATTTTGTAATTGCCTTTATCTTCATCATCTACTCTAATATGTTTTTATTTGTTTACTGAGTTATTTTGGTTCAACATTGCACGATTGTCTAATAAGCTGTTTCGGAGTACACATTCCGAAACAGCTTTTGTTTGTGTTAAAGTTGTTGTTTTTTTCCTTTTCTCCTTTTTTATTTTTCAGTTAAGTTCGCAAGATGTCCAAGCTAAGTGAGTCCAAGACAAGCAAGAAGAGCAGGTCCAGCCAGCCGCCGCCTTCTCCATCTAGCTCCACCTCATCCGGCATTCCCTGCGGGCAACGGTCCCCCACCAGCATTCCAAGCGACGATGAGTCAGTTCTTCTATCCTGTGAACTGGACTCGAGCCCATCCACATCAAGAACCACACCAACCACGGTCTCGCACCGATTACCGAGGAATAATTCAAACAGGTGAAACTTTAGGCAGAAAACGTCAACAATTTGACATCTCCAGAAAAGAACATCGCTGCTATTCACAAGGGTAACGCTAGAAGAATACGAGCACCACCTCCATTTTACCTAGGCCCAGCTGACCAACGTCAGACGCTCAGCCCAAGAACAACTTGCTGAAAATTTCCATGGTCAGGATCATCACACCGCTTAACAAGTTCTGAGCTTCTTCACAAGACCACATCAACCATCGAGAGGCATCAAGCGAAAATGCCAATACTAGCCGATCTCCAAACCATAAAACCAAACCGTTCTTTTCAGGACCACCAGATCTTCTCAAAAGAGATATTTTACCACTCAGCTTTTATTTTTAGTTCATTATAATAAATAACCTAACCTCCTGAATATAACCCATTCTACCTCATCCGTTATATTTAAACCACAAATCCTTCAATCGCAATGGCAAGAAGAAAATTAAAAAAAGAATCCAAGAGATCACTCAGTCAACAAAAATCCAACCGTTTCTCTGACAATTGCATAACCAAAACCAAACGAGCCAACTCCAATCGTTTGCGCTCATTAGCAGAACAATGTCAATCGTTCATAACCAACCTAACCAAAGCAACACTATCGCAAACCGAAATAATTGCTTGAGGAAAAGGCCTAACTTTCGTACCTACCCCTGCTAAACCAAACCGCAAATCACTTGTAAGTGACATAAATACCTTCAATCGAAGACTAAGAATTGCATTCCTAATGCGTAACAAATGCTCCAAAAACCATCCCTTCAAACCACCATCAAACTGGCATCCAAAATCATCACCTAGTGCAACACTAGAAGAATATTTGGAAGCCACTAAATTCGAACTGGCCCACATCAGGCTAAAAAACGGCAAAAAAAAAACATGACCACGCAAGAACTATCCGCCATAAACAAACTTGAAAACAAACCCCGACATCGTAGTCAAACCATATGACAAAGGCAGGGGCATTTGCATTATGAACCGCTCAGATTATCTACAAGTGGGTTACCATCATAAGACCTATCATTATACTGTAACAAAGATTCTGTTCGCCACGTGCAACACAGCGGTTAAGCTCCAAACATATCTTGCATTCCTTTAATACCTTTTCTGGTCGGGTGCACCTTACGGGTATATAAGGCCGGTGCGCGCAATTGGGCGTTGGTCATTCTTTTCTTTTTGTTATCACACTGTTACGTTGAAGTTCCGTTTGCTGTGCGCTCTCCTCCAGCCACGCCACTGCACTGGTCTTATAGTTTGTAAGTTTCACCCAATATCATATTTATCTGCTTTTATTAATTTACTCTTGGTTTATCTTTGTAAATAGTCATTGCGTATATTATCAAACTAAAATCTGGGAGGCGCCCCCGAATTCTGTCTTGCTCACTGTGTGTTTTCTTTGGTTGTTGTTTTAATTAGTAGCCCCGCCACGCCCCAGCCTGCTCGGCCCGTTACAAATTTTGGTGGCAGCGGTGGCCCGGATCTCATATCCGAGTTGAAACTTATGTTTTAAGCACATATATTAAAATTATGGATAGCAGGCAGACTTCTGGGGTGAACCTCTCAGATATGGATCATCCTTGTTTAGAACGATCCACACCAACTCATGTAAAATCCATTCAAGATGAAATCGCTCAATTAGAGGCTGAAATAAGTACCATTCATTGTGAAGTTGTGCAGGGAGTGGCTCGAGGACAGCACCGTTCAAATTCCCGTGATGTTGGAGAAAAAAATTGTTCAACGAATGACCCCCCAACAGAACAGACAAATCACAGTCGTAATGCTAGTGTAGTGTATGTAGATAAATCCAAACAGCGTCTTCCTGGCAATTTTGACGGGACAACAAATTTTAAAGATTGGATTGTACATTTTCATTTGTGTTGTGAAGTCAATGATTGGAAAGGTGGTGATAAAATTACCCAACTTGCTGTCAGTTTAAGAGGTGAAGCACTTAGACTGTATCGAAATATCCCAGATGTACATAAACATGATTATGATTTTGTTGTTGGTGAACTGCGCTCTCGCTTTAGCCCAGCACATAGCGTAGATACATTTAGATCACAACTCAAGCAGTGTGAACGCAAACAAGGTGAAAAGCTAGCAGCGCTCGCTCAAGATATACGCAGTCTTATTTCTCATGCATACCCGCAAATGGAGACAACAAGCACTGATCATTTAGCAGTTAGCTACTTCATTGATGCACTGCGTCCCTCAACCATTAGGGCAGAAGTGCGGCGCGTAAACCCACATACACTTAAAGACGCTCTTCATGCAGCACAACGCGAAGAAGACATTTTACAAGCTGAAGCTAGCGCGACAGGCATGACAACATCTGCTCTGCAGCAGCAGCGCGTTGCAAGCTTACAAGAGCCAAATTCACCAGCATCAGTGAGTGTTGATGAAAAGATCAGTAGATTAGAGCAAAAACTTGAAGAGAATATCAAAATTGTTCAAGGTTTGGTAGAAACTCTGAAACGTAAAGATAGGAGGTGTTTCAATTGTGGAAAGCCAGGTCACATTCGTAGGTTTTGTAAGTTGCCTCCACAACAAAGGGAATCTGAATCGAATGTCATGCCCACAGATAGAAACCTTGCTGAAACAACTAATAGTCAAGCGTTAAACTAGATCAGGTTGTTCGTGGAGTCGACGCTCAACCACCAGGTATGCAAAAGACTCAACCCAATACCAGTCTATATGTATTCACTGTTACGTATGGAGTTGCCGTTAAAATGCTTATTGACACTGGTTCGTCTTATTCAGTCATTCATCCACGGGTTTTACAACTTTTCCCAGATGAAGTCAAAAACCAAATTCAACCATGCAATTTGTCAATGGTTACTGCAGATGGAACGTCAATTAGAATAAATGGGCAGATCTCAGTAAGCTTACAAATAGGGAAGCTAGAAACCACGCATAATATTGTAGTGGCCGACATAAATCCAGCAGGTATTCTTGGAATGGATTTCCTAGACCTCCATGAATGTATGATCAATGCGAGTAAGAATTACCTAACAGTAGACGGTGTAACAGTACATACAGTTAAAGAGGCTAATTCCTCTCATTGTTGTCGCATTGTTGTAGATCACACTGTAACTGTACAGCCCGGGCAAGAGGTTATTATCCCCGGCAGAGTAAGGACAAGAAATGCACTTAGTAAATCGGGCATTGTTGAACCAACCTGTAATGTGACTAGAGACAGAGGCATTTGTGTAGCCCGTTCCTTGGTTCATACAGACAACAAGTATGTCCCAGTGAGAGTATTTAATGTACAGCCAGAACCAATTGTAATCTACAAAGAAACCAATCTAGCTTTACTTCAGCCTGCTCACAATGTTTCACAATTGTCAGACTACATCGAGACCAATGAGGTATTAAGTGATTGTAAAGATGAAGAATTCGAAGATTTACTAGATCGTACATGTGCCAAACTTGAAAAAGATCAAGAACAAAAAGTTTGTGAGTTACTGCGTAGCCATAAATCTGTGTTTGCAAGAAAAAACGAACTTGGTCGTACTAATCAGGAACAACATAAGATTTATTGTGACAGCCACCCTCCTATCCGACAAGCTATTAGGAGAGTACCTTGCCATCAAAGATCAGAGGTTCAGGATCAGATAGATGATATGTTAGACAAAGGAGTTATCAGTCCATCACAAAGCCCATGGCTATCCCCTGTAGTACTTGTACGTAAAAAGGATGGTAGTCTAAGATTCTGTATAGATTACCGTAAACTCAATAACATAACGAAGAAAGATGCATATCCTCTTCCAAGAATCGACGACAGCTTAGATGCTCTCCATGGTGCTCAGTGGTTTAGTACTCTAGATTTAGCTAGTGGGTACTAGCAAGTGGAGGTAGATCCCATTGATCGTCCAAAAACGGCCTTTTCAGCTGGCACAGGCCTCTTTGAGTTTAACGTAGTGCCATTTGGCTTATGCAACGCTCCAGCCACTTTTGAGCGTTTGATGGAGCGCATTCTAACAGGTCTTCATTGGAAAACATGTCTAGTATATCTTGATGATGTAATTGTATTTGCAAACTCTTTTGATGAACATCTCGCTAGGCTTAGCACTGTTCTGCACACATTAGAACAGGCAGGTTTAAAGCTAAAGCCAAAGAAATGTACACTGATGCAAACTGAAGTGTTGTACCTTGGTTATGTTGTATCTAGAAATGGAATTTCTACCAATCCTGAGAAAGTCCAAAGAGTAAGAAATTGGCCAATACCATCTAACGTAAAAGAACTCCGAGGCTTTTTAGGACTTTGTTCTTATTACAGACGTTTTGTGGATAACTTTGCCCAGATAGCCGCACCTCTTCATTGCTTAACTGAGAAAAACACTGAGTTCGTTTGGAATGATAAGTGTGAGCAAGCATTTTACCAGTTAAGATCCGCTTTAATATCTGCTCCCATACTTAAGTACCCAGATTTCAGTCGTTCATTTATTTTGGACACTGATGCCAGTAATGATGGTATTGGGGCCGTCCTCTCTCAGCAGGTAGATGGGAGTGAGCATGTAGTGAGCTATGCCAGTCGTAAGTTGACCAAAGCTGAACGTCGATACAGTGTTACTAGAAAAGAACTACTAGCTGTAGTAACCTATGTCAAGTACTTTCGACATTATCTTTATGGTAGAAGATTCACAGTGCGCACTGACCATGCTTCATTGCAATGGCTATTCAATAGTAAACAAATAGAAGGACAGATGGCACGATGGTTGGAGATACTTAGCAGCCATTCCATGTAAGGGTCATCACCAAACTCAAAAATTGAAGTGAAAGGAATAAATTTTTGTCAGTTATATTTGATAAGAGGAATATTGAAACCATCTAAATCTCAAAAGATTTTTTAAAATAAATCATTTGAATTAAAATTTCAGCCTCCTGAACATGGATGAATTTTGTGGGCGAAACGGAGGGTCAGTGGTATAAATCACAAACTGAGGAAGTAATTGAAGCTCATTCATAAGATTGTGCTTTATCTGCATACATTTGGTAGCTATTCCAGTCTATTTGATAAAACATTGAGAATTATTCGAAATGTCTTCAGTATTTTCCCACTATTTCATCGTGAAAACACCCTCAAAAATATGTCACGCGAGTCACAAAAAATGACTTTTTTTCAGATTACTTAATAACTAGAGAGGGATTCAGCTAGTGTTTGATATTTGTAAATGAAATAGTGGTGGTCTATCAATAAAAGTATGAATATTCTTATTTGCTCTACATTCCTTGTAGAAAAAACTATCTCAAGAATGTCATGCGAGTCACACATGATGTATGTCACGCGAGTCACCAGGGGTGGATCCAGGAATTTTCGCAGCGGGGGGGGGGGGGGGGGGTTCATCAGCCATATAATTTGAAAATGTAAAAAACTGGGGAGGGGGGGACGGGGGGTGGGGGGGGCTGGTACCAATTTCAATCGGGGCGCTGTTCAAATTCGACGATTATTAACACATTACAGAATGGTGTACCGTATTTTGAATAATGTTTTTGGGGGTGTCACGCGGGGGGGGGGGGGTGTTCGACTTTTTCTTCAGGAATTTGTATGAGAATTTTTTTTTTGACAGAGCTGGGGGGGGGGGGGGTTGACCCCCCAAAAAAACCCTCTGGATCCGCGCCTGGTCACAAGCCAGGAATGTTTCATTTACATGTAATACAAAGAAACAATGCCATAGGCCCTATTAAATTATAGAATTGGAATTAAGTCTTTAAAAGCATTAGTTATGTAACAAGAAATTGAATCAGTTTTTTACAAATGTATATACAGTCGAGTCTCGTTAATACAAACTCGTTCGGACCTAGCCAAATTGTTTGTTATATCAGAATTTTGGACTAAGAGGAACATCAGTCCCATTCATTGTGCACATAAATGCACAGTCGGGACTAAGGCTTTATGTTTGTTATAACCAGAATTTTGTATTAACAGAGTTTGTACAAACGAGATTCGACTGTACTGTATACATTCCGATACAACTGCATCATTAATTGCAGCTCGATCTTACAATTTAAGGAAACTGTGACTCTACATGACCAAGAATTACAACCGTTTTCCTGAAATAATCACCCGTGGATTGATGACATCACTTCGTAACTAAAATTCCAAAACATTTTTTTCTCTCTATGTCATTGTTAAGGATATTGGGTTTAAACCAGATTTCCACCCCCAACATTTGCATTCGTAAAGGATAAATAGCAGTTTTCACACTCTTTCATAAGGTATTCACAGGTAAATCATTTTTATTAATATAATATTATGATTTGATTCGTTATACTAAAATTACAATTATAATGTGAAAGTAAAAAGCTACTGTGTCACGCAAGTCACGCATTTGTGTCACGCGAGTCACATTTTCTTCAGGCCATTTCTTACAACAAGGGATATTTGGCACAATACAACTTATGCATGTATTGGGTGAGGGTATTAAGTTCCAAGTTCTGTAAGAATAATTTTTAGAACACTGGTAGATCCATAGGAAAAGCTATTTGAATCAAGGGATGTCAAAAATCCCTTTTTCTATCCTGTCATGCGAGTCACGTCAAAGAAACTGTGATACATGAAAAAATAGCGATTTTAAAGTAATCATATAAAGACTAAACCATACATTCACAATGCCCTGACTCAAATACATGCTTATTTGAGTTGAATAAATGCCAGGTTAACAACAGTAATGCATTAAAACTTTACATTTTGTTCAAATGTCACGCGAGTCACCATGGAATGGCTGCCAGTACATTTGATTTTGAGATCCAACATCGCCCAGGACGTAAGCATCGTAATGCAGATGCTTTGTCCAGACGCCCGAGCGATGAACCTGATTGTAATTCCAATGTTACTCACGGTGTTTGTTGTGGAGTTTTTCTTACTACAGGTTGGAACCATACGACTGTCCGTAAAGCACAGTGTGAGGACCCCATCCTGGCACCAGTAATGCGTTGGCTTAGCGATGACAACAGGCAACGACCCTCGGGTAAAGAAGTCACAGGTCTGTCACGAGAAACAAAGTCTTTGTGGACCAACTTCTGTTGAAAGATGGTCTTCTCTATCGTCGATGTCAGTTCAAAAACAGGTCAGTCAATGTTCAGTTGGTTGTTCCGTCTAGTCTGCAAAAAGAGGTCTTGAAACAAAGTCATGACACCCGTACAGGTGGTCATCTTGGTCAAAAACGCACCCTAATAAAGGTCCAGAAGAATTACTATTGGGTAGGTTATCGCCATTCAGTCGAAATGTGGGTCAGAAGTTGTCTCACATGTCAAGCGCGGAAAACTCCCAAACAAAAGTACAAAGCACCTCTGCAGTTAGCACCAGCTGGCGCGCCATTCGAGCGCATAGCCCTAGATATCATGGGTCCTTTTCCTGCTACTAGAGATGGTAATACATATGTACTCGTAATAATGGATTACTTCACCAAATGGGCTGAGGCCTATGCGTTACCAAACCAACAAGCTGAAACTGTAGCGATTGTGTTGGTTACACAGTTTATTTGTAGATATGGCGTACCTAATCAAATTCATACCGATCAAGGTACAAACTTCGAGTCGAAATTATTCAGTACACTATGCCAGTTACTGGAAATTGATAAAACTCGAACCACTGCTTACCACCCTCAGTCAGATGGTCTAGTGGAACGTTTTAATCGAACATTACAAATAATGCTTAGCATGTATTGTAGCAAGGATCAAAGTGACTGGGATCAGCATTTACCATATGTATTAATGGCATACAGGGCATCTCAACAAGAAACCACAGGAGCTACCCCAAATAGTTTAGTATTTGGGAGGGAGATTAATTTGCCTGTAGATATACTTGCAGGTCCAGTACCAGACGCAAAAGTACAGCGACCCGAGTCCTACGCAATGGAGGTCAAGACAAGGTTAGAGGAGGCCTTTGAGGTGGCGAGACAGCATGTTGACGGGCAGCAGAAACGACACAAGAAACTGTATGACAGTCGTTTGTATGGAAGTCCATACAAGCCTGGAGATAGCGTGTGGCTGTTCTGCCCGGCGAGATACATCGGACTCTCTCCAAAGCTCAGAAGTCAGTGGAGGGGACCTTGCAAAGTTCTCAAGAAGTTTTCTGACGCGAACTACCTAGTCCAAGTACCGAGTACTACTCGCCAGCGTCAAGTCGTCCACTTTGACAGACTGAAGCCGTGTACTCTGAGGGAAGGCGACAATCCCGTGATCCAGGGCGAAACTCAGGCTGACAGACAGCCAACCGGTTGGTCCGGAACTACCGATGGAGAATTCGCAAGCTGGACTGACTCTGACGATTTTGGCCAAGTCGTTGGGGACATTACAACCGGGGATCCAACTCAAGAGGACAACACCTTCTGTCATCGTCGGACCCGAGCTGGACGAGTAACGCGACCTCCCAACTGGATGAGAGACTTTGTATCTTAAATTCCCTGTTCTCTGTATCTTTTATTGTGATAAATCTTGTTTAACTGTTCCAAGTCATTAGAGATCCTGTGTAAAACCGTACCATTAATCATTGTGTAAAAAAACAAAAAAAACAAAAAAAACAAAAAACAGCAACATTACGGTGAATTTGGAATGTTAACATCTGTAGAGCACACCATGAGATTTTTGTGTTATTACTTAGTAAATTTTAGTTGACCCATGTAATTGTTTTCTAGTATATTTTCGTTAAACTTTTGAAAAAAAAAAAACAAGTTGAACAAGTGTTTTCAAAATATGCCGATATTGATAATATCGAAGATTTAATTGAAGAAGAAGAAAAAAAAAACAAAAAAAAACCAAAACCATAAAACGTTTGATAATGGAATTTTAGGGAAACACTAAAAAGTTCCTAAAAATATTTAAACGTTTAAAGGTAATTTAATTATGGAATTGATGAAAGATTTACTACGTTTTTATGACATTGCTAAAAGTTAACAATTGGAAAATTGAGTTTCATTTATAAACAAGGAAACTTTAAAAGCAGTTTATGGACTTTTACTTGATAATCAAAGATGTTTAATGATTATTGAAGAATTATCTATTTGAAATTATAAAATTAATACAAGTTCTTTAGGTCCAACTTTTTGTAATAATTGCTAAATTTTTGTTGCGCAGACACGGGACGTGTCTTTTTGGAGCAGGAGGTGGTGTAACAAAGATTCTGTTCGCCACGTGCAACACAGCGGTTAAGCTCCAAACATATCTTGCATTCCTTTAATACCTTTTCTGGTCGGGTGCACCTTACGGGTATATAAGGCCGGTGCGCGCAATTGGGCGTTGGTCATTCTTTTCTTTTTGTTATCACACTGTTACGTTGAAGTTCCGTTTGCTGTGCGCTCTCCTCCAGCCACGCCACTGCACTGGTCTTATAGTTTGTAAGTTTCACCCAATATCATATTTATCTGCTTTTATTAATTTACTCTTGGTTTATCTTTGTAAATAGTCATTGCGTATATTATCAAACTAAAATCTGGGAGGCGCCCCCGAATTCTGTCTTGCTCACTGTGTGTTTTCTTTGGTTGTTGTTTTAATTAGTAGCCCCGCCACGCCCCAGCCTGCTCGGCCCGTTACAATACCAAACTGGACCCAGACATTACCCCACAAACCATGGTTCACAACACACCAATAGAAATGAGAAACAACAAACACATCGACAACGATACTCTGAAATATCTCGACCCACTTCCACAAAACTTTCAATGTTCAACCATGTATTTTCTCCCCAAAATACACAAAACCCCAATAATATATACATAGACTATTTCCTTCTTCCCATAGTAACCGCACTACTCACATATGTCCGCGACACAGCAGACGTTTTGCGCAAAACTGGAAGAAAGACAATTTCCGCAAGACGTTCTAATAAGAAGCATAGATGTTGTTTTTTTATGTACACAAAATGTCCGACAGACGGAAGCAATCCAATGCGTTTGCAATGCCCTCGACAACACAAACCATAACTATCCTATCACAAAACCACCCTCGACTTACATCCAAAAACTTCTGAAACATCCTCGGCCGCAACTGTTTCAAATTCGGAAATAAGTTCTTTCTCCAAAAATTGGTTGTGCAATGGGCTCCACATCAAGCCCTGAAATTTGTGACATCACCTACACGACTTAACAAAATAATCCAAAAAGCGGATAATATCCTCACATGGTGGCGCTATAGAGACGACATACTGGTCATCTACAAAGGAACTTTGAACGAACTCCAAAATCTCGTCACGGAGATAAACAAGATGCACCCAAACCTACAAATACGGAGCCTCTGAATCATCAATGAACTACCTTGACCTAACCATATTCAAAGGAAATCGTTTCCGTAAAACAGGAATCCTGGACAAAGTATACACATAATCAACGGAAACCTTCCAATATCTCCATAAAACATCATCCCACCCACACCATACTCTCAAAGCGTTCATATACGGAAAAGCACTCCATTACGCTAGAAACACCAACAACGCGGATGATTTCCACAACAGAGTCAAACCATTCTCAGAGAAACCAACCACAAGAGAGTACAATCCCACTGAGATCAAAACAGCGACAGCCAAAGTCCCACATGCCGATCGAACGAGATTAATACACAACACAAAAGATGGAGAAAAAAACTCCACTTGTCTTCACAACCACCTATACAACCCCGCCATAAACCACGGTGACGTACATCGACCAATAAACAATCACTGGAATCTAATCCAAGGCAAACCATTACTTCCGAAACTATGTCCGAAGCCCCCATTCATTGCCTTCAGAAAAGTCCAAAACATTCGGGATTAACTAATAAGAGCTAAACTGCCACAGCAAAATCAAGAGCTCAAACCACTCCCAACAGACTCCGGCTTTTTCGAAGAACAAACTGAACCAGACGAAACCCTCAACATATTGCTCTCCTTGTTAGAGGAACAATTTGAAACCGACTAAAATCATATGGCTCAAACCAAACACTCCAAACTTACATAAGTGGAATGTACCCTATCCCAACCACAACTTTTCCGCGAGTCAGGTTGGATTCTTTTTGGAATCACCAATCTGCAACTGAAGAGTGCCAAAAAAGCAAGGCACGAAAGCATGCCATTGCTAACGAGAAGATTTGCAAACATAATCCTCTGCTCGCACCCAAAATCACATTTGATTACCTAATACAATAGTCACTCACTCTCTTATGTCCGCCCACTCTAAATTTTAATCGGACATAATCGGCAAAGACTGATTCATGCTTAAAATCCATATTAAGCCATACAAGTCACCAGAGAATAAGTGTTACTGAATTGGATAGCGCCATCTCCTTCCCAAACCATCTTCATTATCTACTCCAATATGTTTTTATTTGCTTACTGGGTTATATTTGTTCAACATTGCACGATTGTCTAAGTAGATGTTTCCAATACACACTCCGAAACAGCTTTTGTTTTGTTAAAGTTTTTTTTTTCCTTTTTCTCCTTTTTTGTTTTTTCAGATTCCTCCTTCTACCCATACACATTGGCTCTTTTGTGAATCCGATCGACTTCAGACTTGGCACACTGAGGCCACCATCTGAAAATGCATGCCAAAGAAATTCATTGCGATGACGTAATCAGTTGTCATGGGATGTCAATCGGGGTTGTACACTTTTTATTCAAAGTCTACGCTTTACCATACACTTTGGCACTTTACTGCTTATATATGTTAGAGTCATTAGTAATACAAATGGAGCTGAGCTCTCGAGAGAACTCGTAAATGTCTGTATTGGAGGGGATTTTTTTACGTCGGCCTCCTCCCCCGGGACCTTTGGTTTTAATCAATCAATGCCAGGATGGCTGTAATGTGGGTTTCAAGGAGATATTTTGTTTTCCTCATACGATATTTCTGTAAGAATATAAGGTTTAGTTTAGTCTTATAGCTAGATAATATTTTATTTTATTAGTGATGTTTTAGTGTTCGATTATTTTGTATGCTTTTCTGGTTTAGTTATTCTTTATTAGATTTGTTTTAGTTTATGATCGTTAAGCATTCAGCCTCCGAACAGTTAGGATCAACGCCAACTCACCTCCTACATGGACTTCATTGACACAGAACCGTCCAAAATTCCGTCTTGCCTAAATATGCTAGTGCACCAAGTGCATCGGGGACGGCCTTGCACGATTGTCCACCCGGCAGGTATCAGTTATCGGTTGAATTGGATGTAACTCATACATGCAAATGTCTCTGAAACAATTTTCAAAACAGCTATGTGTTTATTCACAAACACAATTCTAATACTTATTTTCTTCGTGTATTTTTTTTGCCGTTTGACTGTTTTGTTTTTTGAATTTGTTTTCTATAATTTATTTTGTTTGTTAACTTATTCGCTACTGTTAACTCATGTTTGATATTTTTTCATTATTTCTTTAAACAGCTGATTCATCTGTTAATTTATATATTTGTTTAGGTTATGTGTTTAATTAAATATTTATGCGAATTGATTTTGACTAGTTGCATGAGTTATTCATTTTTGGCATTATCTTTTTCGTGCTATCCCTCAATATTTACATTCATTCCATGTGTGTCGTATTTTATGGTTGTCCGTTTGTTTTGCCTGTTTCTGTATTTGTAGTGTCATTTCGGTTTTGTTTTGTAAAGACATCTCCATAAAGCCATTGGCTTCGGAAGGTACTTCCATAATTTCCTATCGTTTTATTATTCTTTCTTTCTTATCTATCTACATGTATAATCTTAATTAGCATGAATCCCGCAATACGGCGACAAGTTGTGCGGGACTTCCCCTACATTAGGGCGACACACCGCAATAGGGCGACAATTTTGGTGTCGCCCTATTGAGGTAACTACCCTTTAGCGAAGGAATTTGCTGTCGCAAATGGGCTAGAGCGATTGCTCGTGGTCCAAAACGTACACATACCAAACTTGGTTGGGATCGGATAAGGTAAAATTGGGTTCGGTCATATTAAAGTTTGAAACTTTTCTGCACGTTTCTATGGAAGTTTCTCCCTATCTTGCAATCCAGAGTTATGATAATAATATTATTTATTACTTCACTCTGTTACATTGTTTTATCAAACTTGTGGCATTATGGAAATAAATATTGATTGCATTGAATTGAATTGAATAATGACAGCAAATAATTTGTATCTAAAACACATTCACTTATTGGTACATGTCAAGTAACAACCAAATCAAACCTATAGTTCTTTAGGTATAAGCCTTAGAATTGCCCCTGTATTGTGACGTCACATGAGTTGTGATGACGTCAACATTACGTCACTTAAGTTTTCATCTGTTTATGTACCTACAAAATTTTCGACCCAATCTGACTTGTATATTTCAGAAGATAAAAGCTTAGGCTTTGACAAATCACATTTATAAAGATGAAATGTGACGTAACGTGATGGTGACGTCATGATGACGTCATGATGACATACATCCTCAGGAAAAATCTACAGGTGGTGTTCTATGATTGGACCAAGACTAAAGCTGATCACATTCCAGTTCCAAAATGTGCTTGTGTAATGAATCATGTGCAAACCATACGGAGAAAAAAACACCTTTAATGCAACAAAACTTGACATCTCATGAAGTCATCGTGACGCATATCTTCGGGGGCCATCCGTGGGGTAGTGGTCTCAATGTGAACCAAGTCTTAGTCGATCGGATTTACAAGATTGCTAAGGTAGACTGGTCGAATAAAAAAGGTGTTCAAACCCTATGGAGAAAAAGAAGTACTAATAATACATTTTTAATCTAGTTCTATGTCAGAACATAGGGCTTTTCCGCATCTTTTAATGACTTTATGTTTTGTTATCGTCCATATGCAGTCAGGTAGATTTTATGCAAGAACATGGTTTCATGACTTATGAAACTGTTCTTGTAGTTCTCCAGATATATGACTGTAAAACATAAATCTTCAAGATGAAGTCTAATGACCCAGGATGACGTCATTATGACGTCATCCGATGTGACTTTGCTGGTCTGTCCAATTATACACCGGGCAGCTCATAAACCGTGTCCCACCCATGCGAGCAACACCATCCTCAAACAGAGCTTTCATCTACCCACAAAATTGCTGTGTTGTTCTGTACGATCATCCCAGGTGGTACCCAGAACATCAGCGACCCTTCACACCGTACTATACCAGACTCTGAAATTCTCTCCCTCAGACTATCGTTGGGATCAAGATGCTGGAGAAATTCAGGCAATCCGTGACCTGTTACTTCTTTAACTAAGTGTGAGACTCATTTTGAGTGTCACCCCAACTACATGTGTCTCTGGAATATACATAAAAACTATACGAATCATCCTATTTCCTTGTGAAAAATTTAAAAATTCTAACAATGTTACTGCAATAATTAAGGAATCTGCTTTTTAATTCCCTTGAATGTAGTGCATTCTTGAACTTAATGCATTCCTCGGAACCTCATGCATTCCTTGAACTTAATCAATTCATCGAATTTAATGTATTCATTGAGCTTAATGAATTCCTAAAACTTAATGTCTTCCTTGAGCTCAATGAAATCAATGAAATTAATGCATTCCTTGAACTTCATGTATTTATTGAAATTAATGCATTCCTTTAATTTAATGCATTCCTTGAACTTAATGCATTGCTCGAACTTTATTGTTTCATTGAATTTTGCATTCCTTGAACTTAATGTATTACCTGTATTAAACTTAATGCGCTCCTTGAACTTCATTCCTGAAACTTACTGCATTCCTTGAACTGCATGAATTAATTGCACTTCATGCACTCATTTAACTTGCATTCCTTGAACTCATGCATTCCTTGAACTGGCATTCATTGGACTTAATGGATTCCTTGAACTTAATGGAGCCCTTAAACTAAATGTTTTACTTGAATTAAATGTATTACCACGTACATGCATGTACTGAATTAAAGCAGCAATTTATTTAAGTAAAGACAGAAAAGGATTGTGCAACTTGTGCATGAGTGCGTGTGTCAATCCAGCTTAGGATTGAGAATGTTCGATCTTTAAACGATTGAGAATTTCAATCTATTAGATTGAATAGTACAATCATCAGTCTAGATTGAAACATTTTCAAACCAACTTCGACTGAAGATAGATGGAAAATTTCAATCTAATAGTCTAAAATTCCACTCGTTTGTGAATTGAAAACTGTCAATCTAAAAAAAGATTGACGGTCAATCCGGAAAGATTGTTCCCTCACAGCAATCTTTGAAAGATTAAGAGTTCAATCTAATAGATTGAAATTTCAATCGTCAGAATTAAGAGAGTAATGAAACACAATATGGGCCCCTAAAGGCGAGCACAAGGGGTCAGGGGTCAATACATTATTCGAATCTACAACTATTCACAAACGTGGGGATGGTGGTAAACCACGGATCTTATTAGCATAAAGCTTTGTTGCTTTAAGAAATAGTTTAAGTCGGAGAATAAACTCGGATCTGTAGACTCGTGCCAAGAGTGAAATCGGCTTTGCTTTGTCCATTCTTAGCACGAATCTACAGTTCCTCGTCCATGCTCCTTGACTGAATTAGAAACCCAGCGATATTTTCGGCCAATTATTGCTTCACAAATTTTGAATTATTTTTAACCAAATAATTCGGTTCTCGCATTGTGGACTGGTTCCCGACTATATCCCCTTGCGTGAGGATACCTTTTCAATACAACGTTGTTTAAACTTAAGAGTTTAAAAGGGGCTTGTGTTTCAAATGTATGAATTAAAAAATGAATTTTGATAAGAATTTGAAAATGAAGTGTACTCACTGCCTTCGCTGACTAACGAGAGTCGTGTGTGATGCTATAATACAACATCCAACGGCAAATGCAAGAGCCAAAACAAGGTGTGGAGTGTGCAACGGTGTCGCTCCGTGAGTACCCACTGCCCAATACCATCGGCCCCAATGAGGGCGCTATTTGGTTTGAGAAAACTCTTCCAACAGTGTTCACCATATCTAAGAAGAAAAGCGATATGGCGGATACAATGAGGGCGCCATTTGGTTCAGATAACTCTGTCAAGTGTCCACCATAACTTTACAAAAATATTTAACACAAGGCTAATGCCTTACTGCGGTATGAAATGCTGCTAAGCAGCACGGAACGAACTACACAAGAACAATGACGTCGAATTGCAGCTACACTGATAGGCTGTAGAGCATCACTTATACGCACTGGTTCCTGATCGATCCATTTCAATTTGGAGAGGGAACCAGTCTCAACCAGTTTCACTGTTCAAAGTAATTAACACAAAGTATAAAAGTATCAATGTACACGAATAATTTGGTTTTCTTTTCAGAAAGTTTCATAACATACATTTTGTTTCGACTTTATTATTTCTTTACAAATGAGCTATTCGTTGAGTAGGAAGTATACATGTCAATTAAATTACAAACCTTTCTTCACCAATCTATTGCTTTCGGACTTGCAACAGCCAATGGGCTATTCATATTTGTGTGTGGAGATCAGCGAAAAGCATGCCAGACCAAAAGATTCTGACTCGTCTGACGCATATAGCGTCAGGTGGGCGCACTGTCACTTGAACTACTGGCAAGATCTTGCTCGTTTCTGCGAATGTTCGGGCTTTACCGTACCATCGCGTATTTTAAACCCCTGACTCTCGGATGTGTTCTTGATGACTCGGATATTTTTTTCGTGACAAATGGTTTAATTTTCCATAACAAAAACTTGTTATGCTTTGGGTTTTTAATCTTTAAAACCTTTCAGCATGTTGATGATACAATCCGGAACCAAGGGCGGATCCAGAATACAATTTTTTTTTGGGGGGGGGGGCAAAAAAAATTGGTCCCCCAAAAGTGGGTCAAAACGTACGGCGTGGGGTTCGGGGCCCGCTTAAGGGCCCCGAAAAATTGTTTGATTCTAGATGCTCTGTGGTGCGATCTGAGGCAATTTCTGACCACTTTAACCAATTTCTTTTTAGGAAAAGATGGTGGTGTACTCTTGCCTGCCTTTATTGCGACGTCAAATAAAAAAATGTTTTTTTTGTTGTGGGGGGGGGGGGGGCATGGCCCCCTTGGCCCCCCTGGATCCGCCCTTCTCCGGAACAATTTAGACTGCAGCCATTTGCAATCCCCCCCCCCACACACTTTTTGTGATAAGGACAAATTTCGGATTTCAAGGTATATTTTCGAACATCCCATGAACCAAAATGTGTACAATAGCACTGAAAAGTGGAGAAACAAAGTACAAAAGCTTTTAAATTGCGCCGTTTTGATGATTGATATACATCTGTATTCTAAAAAGAGCCCCCTAGTAACATTTCAAAATTGATCGTCGACATCGGTCTACATTGAAATAGCACTGACATGATATTGGATTTGCAAATGGAATCAACGTATAAATAATCAATATTAAATCAACAGAGATTTATCAACATCGTATCCTTAGAAATGTCAAAGTTAAACAAATGCAAATCTGGAATTAATGTGGCTATTTCAAGGTTACTGTCTAGATCAAGATTTAAAGTCGGGATATGATGCTGATAATGGTGGATGGTTGGATTTTTTCGAATCGTTCTATGTTGAATAAATTTGCAAACTGAGGAAATGATGTTAAATCCACGTCGACATTGAATAACTTTAAATTTAAATAAATTATTCATCAATCACTTTGAAGTTTTCAATGAAAAAATTATGTGTTTATTAATTTACTTCCAAACTTCATTAGATATTATTTTATTCGATACATTGTATAATTCAGAATTGGATTGACTTGATGGATTAAAGGCTACGTGAGGGTACTAGTCTTTAAATAGATACATGATAATAAAATTGATTGGTTTTTCTGAAACTGCCCAGCGCTTTTAAATCGAAAAAAATATTACAAGAGGTAACAAGCATAACCAATTTAAACATCTAAATTATCTTCCTTTTTTGGCACATGCAAGGAAGAATAACATTCATTTTAGTGTCACAATTTATTTGCAGCACTATTTTTGTATAGCCATTTTCCTGAAAATATTGCAAGAGTTTATGCAGCAGACTTTGGCAAGAACATAGAAACCATCAAATAGAAAATAACAAAACAAAACAAACATTATTCACATAAAATTACTCGGAACTGTTTATTGAACATCCGAAGATGTAAACCAAGAATTAATCAGGTAGCAAGTAAAATAATGTACAATACTTGTACTGTATATAATCATTATAACACTCCCTTACTTCTTGAATGTAGAAGTTGCAAGATGCAAAGTACAAGATGCGGCAGTGGGTGAATGTTCATAACTTGAAAAGCCTTTACCTGTTGAACACTTACGGAAAGATACCAGTCAATCTAAAGCGAGTTACTATATTTGAACAGTTATTATTTATCAATTATTCGAATATTGAAAGATTTGACACAGTCTTATTTTGAGGAATGACCGTACAAAAAAGACTTAACGTAAAGGTGCATGGTCCCTAGGTGTGTCCCTCCATTACCTCTTCTTTCAGGCGCAAACCTGATAGGACACGAACAACTCAGCAAGCATCAACATCCATCACCTTGCCATTACGAGGTTACTAGGACACTCACTAGAAAAGACAAAGATAATTTATTATTTTAGAAATACAGGCTTTTTTTCGAACCACCTCTTTATCCATTGACACAAACCAAATCACCCTCAAAAACGAAAATGTTCAACCCAAAAAACAGAAAAAAATTCCCAAATCATACTTAGTTTGAACAAAGTAATAAACACACTTGGTCATTGTGTGCTGTCTTTGTGCGGAAAAAAAATCAACAGAACTATGCACTTTTATAAAACTTGCACTTGTATTTCCTGGTATTTTATCAAGTATCAAACATACAACTGTAAGGGCGCGCCTAGTGGTGCGCTCCCTCGGGGTAGTTTGAGCGTGTGCTAACAAACTGGGGTAGGGTGTGTACCCTGGTGAATAATTGGCAGTCAGTTCTAAATAAAGTGATCCAGTGACTCGAATATTGCAGCTCAGAATTTATTTATTTACATGTATATGTAATTAATTAGTATGTGTGAAAATCCCTGTAGAAACCCTCTACAAATCCCAAAAGATATTTCTCCAAAAATCCAGATCCAAATCTTCAGTATAAATCAATCAATCCAATCCGTCTGACAATCCAATAGAATCCCCTATTGATGCAAAATAAAATACAATTCAATGATTCAATCTCTTTCCATGATAAACTAGTAATATAAAAGATAAATGGATACTGTTTCCCTCAAAGCCCTATAATATTACATATAACTCACCCAGTCCGGACCCGAGACCATGCGCTGCCCTCTCTCGATTCCCGCGACGCTAGCGGACCACGGTCCTTAGCAACGGTACAGTATAACCTATGTACATGCAAATCAACGTATCGCGTGAACAATGCATGCACATACAGAGAAGTTTCACGGAGTGTGAGTCAAAACAAATCATGAACTCATCACAATAGACAAGCAAAGCCTCTTTAAATGAAAGTTCTCAAACTCTCATACCTGCACCAAACTGATCCTGAATCAAATGCAGACAAATCACTTTCATGCACAATGAACATGAAAAGAGGAAAATACCTCGACTTCCAACGGAAACTTTGGAGCTAGAACTTTCCCAACTTTCGCCCAAAACAACGTGGAGAGAGAGAGAGCTAACACGCATGCGCGGTTGGCCACACCAAAATACTTCAATGTTACTGTACACGATTGACTCTCAGAAAGTGACTATAATACATAACCACATTACAATCATGTATCGATATTATTACTAATATAATCATAAATGAAGTTTCATAGATCACATACCCCTACACAACCATTAAAAGTATCAATGCAATTCGATTTTACTTTGGAACCAGAACAATTTGTCAACATATTTTTAATATGACGAAGAAAAGAAAATACCTGACGAAACTGAAAAGGCCTGTCTCCTCAACTGCTAAATTCTTTCAGTTCCACTTTGCCCATCATTTTTTAATTGTCTTCATGCACTTGGTCATACGAACTCTCAAGAACAAAAGTAAAGATCCATCGGGAAAAAAAGGTAACAGAAAGAATGTAAAGAAAGAATTATTAAAACTGTAAAACAAAAATCATTGATCATTATGCTGTAATGCATTTTACTAAACTGATAAAACGGAATAACCGTATATATCTTAATAATCCCGGGACATACCGTTATTTCGTTTTACCGTTTTGTATTTCCTCAAAAACAAAAACAGTAAACGAACCAATGACCGGTTTGTCGTTTTACAGTTTTGTAAAACGGCAAACGGTATTAAGATAGATACAGTTATTCCGTTTTATCAGTTTCATAAATTTCATAACAGCGTAACGATCAACGATTTTTGTTTTACAGTTTTACACAAGTAACTTTGAAAAACAGAAAAACGGTCAGTATTCAATACAGACTGTTGTTTTCTTTTACTTCAGTTTCATAGTTAACAGCCCGTAATGCATTTTGTGGCGGTACTTATGGTGGGCAAGGCCGGTCAGGGTGGAAGGGGATCATGCCGTGCACGAAGAAGTGTTACCTCGGCATACTTCGTGCGTGGTGTGATTCCTGGCGTGACCCTGACCCCGTCTACTGCGATTCAGTTGGTGGGGCCGGCTTGAAGAATTGCAAGCAAACATGGAGCTGGAAAATTTCAAGGGGGACATTTCACAATGGATACAGGATGGTAAGACGTATGAAGAAGTTGCAGATATGTTGAAGGAAATTGGAGTCCAGCGCGGCTCTTCAATAGCAAATACAGTTCTCAAATTCTGTCGTGAGAACTAGAACGACATAAATGTAAGGAGGGCAATTTCACAGGCAGTGACCGTCCCAAGGACACATTAACATTCCAAGGTGCATTGCTATAATTGCCAACTTAAACCTGAATTAAAAAAAATGGTCGACAAGACTATTGACCGTTTTGACATTATCATGTTTTTGTAAAACAACACTCTCAAAATAAAGCAACTAACCGTTTATCGCTTTTTACAATTTATAGA